TGGCTGTGTGTGTAGTTCTCAGTGTGTGTGTTTGTGTGGCTGTGTGTGTAGTTCTCAGTGTGTGTGTGTTTCTGTGGCTGTGTGCATGAAGTTCTCAGTGTGTGTGTGTGTTTGTGTGCCTGTTTGCATTTGGTTCTCAACGTGTGTGTGTATGTGTGGCTGTGCATGTGGTTCTCAGAGTGTATGTGTTTGTGTGGCTTTGTGCATTTGGTTCTCTGCATGTATGTGTTTGTCTGGCTCTGTGAGTGTGGTTCTCAGTGTGTATGTGTGATTCTCAGCGTGTGTGTGTTTGTGTGCCTGTGTGCATTTGGTTCTCTGCATGTATGTGTTTGTCTGGCTCTGTGAGTGTGGTTCTCAGCGTGTGTGTTTGTGGCTGTGTGCGTGTGGTTCGCAGTGTGTGTGTGTTTGTGTGGCTCTGTGTGTGTGCGGCTGTGTGCAGGGGGGCGTGTCTGAGCAGAGATCAATAGCGGGACTGTGAGGGAGAGAGACGCTCACCGATCGATACCCCAGCCGCCAGGAGAGAGTAAGTGATGAGGCAGAGGCTTCTCAAGTCTCTCACACTGCTGTGAGCAGCCGAGGGTGACTCTCTGTCCTCCAGGACTTCAGGAGAGGGCTGGGTGAGGTTCAGGATCAGTGGCTCTTGTCCTGTAGACTGGAACATGTCTCACCTGACAGTGTGGAAACAGTATCTCAGACAGCGTGTCAGTCAGACAATCAGGGAGTCGGGGAGTCAGGGAGTCACTCAGTGTGTGAGTGTATCTGCCTGGGTGTCAGTCGGTCAGGGTGTAGTCTGTGAGCGTATCTGCCAGGGTGTCAGTGTATGAGTGTATCCTTCAGGGTGTTAGTTTGTGAGTGTATCTGTCAGGGTGTTAGTGTGTGAGTGTATCTGTCAGGGTGTAGTGTGTGAGTGTATCTGCCAGGGTGTCAGTCAGTCAGGGTGTTAGTGTGTGAGTGTATTTGTCAGGGTGTTAGTGTATGAGTGTATCTGTCAGGGAGTAGTGTGTGAGTGTATCTGTCAGGGTGTCAGTCGGTCAGGGTGTTAGTGTGTGAGTGTATCTGTCAGGGTGTCAGTCAGTCAGGGTGTTAGTGTG